TATATATATATATATATATATATATGAAGGGCAATTACTGCAGAAAGTAATTAAAGAGGGTGTTATAAGGAAGAATGAATACTTATTTGGCTTACACAATAATATTGCACCCTATGCCAAAGTGTCAGAAATATTAAAAGAGAAGATTTGAAAATATATGAACAAGTCAGCAATGTCAAAACTTCTAACACAATGAAAATTATGTGATAGAGTTGATGTTGACTCTTATTATAAGACCAAGAAAAGTCAGGGACTCATCTTCTTTGCCACCAAAATTTATTAAAGATCCAAGAGATCCCATGCAAACTATATAGTAGATGTGGAGGATGACAACCGTCCTGGAGAGGAGGTAATTGTAAGTAAGAAGATATCTCCAGAGAATGATAGATAGGTACACAAACATGTTTGTATTTAGAGATTTTTTATGAGAATTAAATTTTATTCAATGTGGTAGCCTCCCCTTATTCCTTTAATTTCATTGATGCTTATGGTCAAGGCTTGAAACCCCCATATATTTATAAATTTAGGAGATACATGTTAAAAGAGGAACTAAGCCACATAGAGAGAGAGACATGAAGAAGATTAAAATGAGTTGGACTTATACTAGAGTAACAATCATGTCTAATAAGTAAACAAATATAAAAATATAAGTTTGATTAAAATTATGATAAATAACCCTTATAATACTATTTTCAAAAATCGGTCGAATCATCCGATCGAGAGAAAAATGTAGAGTACATTTCCACATTAGTTTAATAGAGTGTTAAGGAGATTGGAGAGCATTTGATAGCCATTTTATAATAGGTAATGCTATTGTTTATCAGAAATCTAAGCATAAGCTAATGAGAAAGAGAAAACGACTATATTGAATATATTATGTTGCATACTACATAGACTTGATTATAGAGAAGCTAGATGACTTTCCCTAATATAAGAATACTCTAAATAAAATATAAGAGATTAGTAAAGTTATTTATAACCATTGATGAGTATTATTTTTTATGATAAACATTTCTAAAAAGACTTATGCATCATAATAGAAAAATATTTGATAAATCTATTGAGTCACAGAGCATATTGGAATTTAAGCAATCATCGAAGATAATATTCACTTGGGTTCAATTTCTAGGCTGTGCATGGTTAAAAAAAGCTAAGAGAAAAGAAGTTAAGAAAAAAATATTTTAAATAAAAGGTCTTGGTCAAGAGTCATATGCAAGAACAAAACCACAAGGCTATTGATTCAAAATTTGAGAATGGTGGATGTAATGAAGAAATCTGCCATGGTTTCTATTTACAATGCAATGGACGAAGCCATGGAGTTAATATCACAAAACTTAAGAGATTATGAGGTTGTATATATGGAAATTTGAGATATTATTGATGAAAAATGAGAGCATCAGCTCCACTGTTATTAGCATTCTGCTAAATATCTCTTTAACACTCAATTACAATATGCGAAGAATAAGTCTTCCAATCATCAGATAAGTCGGCGTTATATGATTGCAAAGATAAACTAATTACTGGCCCAACCGAGAGGATAACTTATCATATGCAACTTACCATTTAAGAATAAAACAATTTTCTTTAAGCTGCAACAAACTAAAGATATTATTGCAAATACTCTCAGCATAATTTTTTAATATTTAGTATTTTCATTGAAATAAGAAATGGCCATCCAAATTCTAAATTTTTAAGTTTTAATCATATTGTTTCTTTTCAAATATAGTTGAATACTGAATCTAATTTGGTAATGATACTTCAGAATTGTAGCATTTTATTGTAAGGTTATTGGGACTTACATGCTCTTCATCTAGATGGAAGCACAACTCGAGCATATATAACAAAGTCCACACAAAAAAGAAAAATCATCCAACGATCTTAAGCATGAATTTCTTAGTGTACATCATGTACGATAAGAATTTAAAAGATATAGATCGAAATATAAAAAGTTTTAAGAATGACAAGGATCACCTACTTTATGAAAATATGATATCAAATGATAACGACAATGAGAACACACTAAGTTATAACAAGAAGATAATAATGATAATTTCTTAGTAAAGATAAAAATAAGACTAGTATATCAAGCATAAAATGAGATAACAAGACATATTATCCATAAAAAAATAAGTATTTATAGTTATCTTAAACTTTAAATAATATATTTTTTATTATTTTAATTGATCATTGTTGATTAGGAACGAATAAATGAGATTTGAGAGAAGATTATTAATTATGACAAGTGATGCCAACTCGAGTGATGAAAGTATTAGACAATATGGGTGAGAGAAATTTATTATACAAAACTTATCTAATGTCTTACATTGATTTGATAACTAAGTTAATTTCATATGATGTTTTATGTTATGTTAGTTAGATCAATTAATACATGCATTATACTTCCACTCTGCACAATTACTACAACATGATAATTTATGGGTTGTGCATATTGTTACTTGATATAGGCATCAAGATTTAAAAGGCAAAATCAAGAACTGAAATGGTTTGCCATAAAGAGGTGATGTAGGCATAAGCCTCAAAAATAAAAATAAAAAGTAAAAAAAAAAAAAAAAACTAGTAAAATTATATATAATTCATAAATATGATAATCTCGTAACATATTAAGTTAATTCATCATTATGAAATCATAAATCACAAATCTTGATCTAAAATATTAACGTAAAATAAAAGTTTGAAATAAGTTTTAAATAAGTACTCAAAATTTAAACACGTGATATGTAATAATCAATTTTTGAGAAATTTGATAAAAAAATTGGCTGACTTAAAATTGTACATCAAATTTTGCATTACTTTGATTCAAATTGAGTTAATTTTATAAAATTTTGCAAGTCAAATTGAGTGATTTGATATATAAAAATATAAATAAATTATTAATGAATTAAAAGTTACAAAAATCAGAAGTTATAAATTAGTTAAACTAATTAAAACTTAATTAACCATCCTTAATCTCACATTATTGTTCCCACCTGAGAAATATTTGCGTACGTAATACACACGTAATTCTGTGTGTGTACTGTATTAATCCCGTAATACCCTCGTAATAATCTATGAATAACATTAAAACTAGGGGTGTAAACGAACCGAACACGAACGAACAAAGCTTGTGTTCGTGTTCGGTTCGTTTAAAATTTAGTTTGTTTAAAATAAGCTCGTGTTCGTTTCTTAACGAACGAGCCGAACACGAGCTGTTCGCGAACAACGAGCCAATTTGACATCTCTAATATTAATATACAAAAATAATATTATATATTAATTATATAACTTATATTATATAAATATACAATATCTATATTAGTATATTACTACTATAGTATATTAATATATTATTATTATTATTTTATTATATATTTTAATTTATAAAATTTAATGTTTTAAAATATAATAAATTTTTTATATATAATTATTTTATATTATTTTATATTTCAAACAATAACGATTCGAACACGAACGAACGCATTACTGTTCGTGTTTGGTTCGTTTAACTAACCGAACGAAAAAAATTTATTCGTGTTTGTTTAGTTTACTTATCGAACGAATCGAACATAAACTCGTTGACGAACTGAACACGAACTGTTCGCGAACAAGGAGCTTTTTTGGCAGCCCTAATTAAAACAATACATATTGGAAGGTTATAGTGGAGGCTATTAACCACGCGTGCTTATTACTTAATATTTCCCCGTCTTCTCTCTAGATAATCCTCCGTCCCTCTCGTTTCGTTCGGCAGAAGGACCAGTGGAGTACCACAAGCTGCAGGGCGCCAGACTTCTCGATCTCAGTTTCTCCACTCGTGATCTTCAGTTCACCTCGCCTGTAAGGATTCCGCGGCACTTTCTACAGTGCCGGGCGAGCAGAAAGGCGAGCGGCCTGCGAAGTACCGCCGGCTAGGTTTCCGGGACAAAATGAGACAAAATCAGTGAGTACGAAACCTCTTTCACCCTATTTGAGACATTCCTTTCATTCCTCTTGTTTCTATTTTAAGTTTTGCCTCGCTTTTTCTCCATTGTTCATTCTGTACTCCGAATTCGTGTTGGAAGTGTCGTAAGTGATTTTTGAATTTTTATAGGAATTTTAGCATGATATCATCGAAGAGAAAGAGGAGATTGAGAAGATAGAAAGAAGAGGGAAGAATTTTTTGTAGCTTCGGAAAGATAGACTGTGCCGAGAAGCCTAGTTGAGGTAAGAAAGTTATTTTTTTTATTAAATTACCGTATGAACTAATATATTATGAATATTTAGGTAGTTTAAGGTTTCAGTTTGGTTACCTAAGCCGGCAATTTCGAAGCAAGCATATAACAAATCGTCTTAAAATGACTCCTTAAATTTAAGATAACATAATCCTATGCTAATTTTAGAAGAATAATTCAATTTACAAAAATCACTTGAATCTTAAAATTTAATATTATGTTTTATAGGTTCTTGAACTAAACATAAAAGTCATAGCAACCTCCAACTAGCTATCGAAGATAACGATTTTAGCGTGGCAACCGAAGTGAGTAATTACATTTCTAAATTTCAGTAATCGTCTTTTTTTCAAAATGTATGTTGATTACATGTATGCTGCACTTCGGTCAGATTTATATTACAATAGATTCTTCATATTTGCAGATAGGAAAGATATGCATAAAAGGTATGTATGTGATGCATAACATCTATGATATACATGATGTGCACGATGGATTTGATAGGAAAGATACACATGATAAACACGACAAAAAAATTATATGCATGATATAAATAAGAGATATGCATGAGATAAATATATGAATGATATGAGAGGTACATGATGAAAATTGTATAACAGAGTAATAATAAGTATGCATATTAGTAGATTTCATAAAGATGTCTCAGAATAATATATGTATGAAGAATGAAATAATTTATATATGAATGTATATATGTGCATGTTCAAAAGTGAAGTTTTCCCTCTAATGATACAGGCATGAGCCGCCAGTGTACCCGTGAGCGTGGAGTTTTTCTGCCATCCAAGATAATTGTGATGATTAAATCATTAACTGTTGTGCTGACGAGATAATATCAGTTAGGGGCGAACAAACTAGAGCTTACTTCACCAGACAATTTTAATGTTTACATTACTAACCGTTGTGACAACAAAATAATATCGGTCAAGGGTAGGTAATGAGCTTTCCACCATAGACAATTGCGATGTGTAAATAACTAACTGGTGTGCCGACGGGAGCCAATGGGGCAATATCAGTCAAGAGTGTGTTAGTTTTGTTCATGGTGATTCTCACAGGGACAAATGTATATGTAAAAACTAAAAAGTAAAAGTAAAGTTAAAGTAAATGCTTGTAGAAGATTGAGTATTTTCATTTAAAAAAAATCATTGATACATGCATTATCATTTATCAGATTTATTGTAAGCATATATCAGATTGCTTATAAAAAATTTGAAAGTCCAGTATATTATAAAATTTGTTATAGATTCGCATACAAATTAAATTCTTTTTCTTATATTATGTAGTTTAGAAGTGTGATTACTCTTGAGTTATTTTTAGGTTTTAAACATTTAAACATGATGAATAGAGTATGAGCAAATATATACAAGGGGGAAGAACAACAATTAAAAATGTACAATTTTTTACTTATTAATTTTTATTGCTTTCTTTAGTCAATCTATTATGTATTCTTTTGAATATTGAATTGATAGTAATAGAAATAAAATATCATAAGTATACTTTTCACCGTTTGACCATCTACTCCCGTCTTGGTTAATTTCAAGCCCCGAGTCGGGTTGTGACACCATAAGAATTATGTGATCCATAGTCGCCTCATCATCATTTTATCATTTTTAAAAGAATCATTATATATAATAACTTTGTCATACTTGAATTTTGTCTAAACATCATCTTCAAAAGCTTCTTCAATTCTAAATATTTCATCTACTCTCTATATCAGTTACCATTAAATTCAATACAATTTCAAACAAAATAATAAATTAGTAACATAAGCAATTCACTATAATTAAATTATCCTCAAAATTTTTTGGCACTCACACCCTATCTATTTTTTTTAAATGATTATGAAATAGAAGCTGATCCAAATTTAGTAGCCCTTTTCAATATCAACATTGATAGCTTCATTCCCTTCATTATTAAAGCTTTTTCATTCATCTTTAAATTCAAATCATTCCTTAAATTTTGGAATTATCAATTTATCATTAAATAATATATCATAAACAACCGAAGAATTTGTTCTATCACAGCCATTTTTTTTACAACTTCTTAATAACTTCAGGTGTTTAATTCAATTATTCATCATTTGAGGAATAATGTGGTGATTTTTTAACACGAGGATCAAGCTATGTTATGGCTGTTATTTATCTCATTTTTGTAAGTATTTTCAAGATACCTTGTAGTATAAAATGGATATAATTAGCTTAGTAGATGTTAGGAATTCATTTATTTCAAAGAAGCTTATTTCCAAGCTCAAGAGCATCAGAAAAGAAAGGCATCATTGATAGATTGTTTGTTAGGGTGAAACGTTTTGAGAAGGGATCCATCTATAGTTATGACAAATGCAAATCAGTTGAAAGGTGCAAGGCTCATTTTTACAATAAGAAAAAATTGGCGCAAAAAAAAAAAAAAAAATCAATGCATCAAGAGGAAAGGGAAGTGAACATATGAGAACCAGAACAAGAAAATTGCATTAATTAAAGAAGAAATAGCAGCAAATTGATTACAATTATAAGGAGGGCAAGCCAAAGGATATTATTATATTGACATATTTTTATATGTTTTTTCAGTGATTGTATAACTCAAATGCAGCATTTAGAAAATTCCTGACTTGGCTTATTAATATCATGTGACCCCATAAGAAAATGCTTTCCAGTAAAAACCATGTGTTTATTCCATTTATATGGGAAAAAAAGCTACATACAAAATTAAAAATTTTGGGACAGTGAGTTTGAGGATGCTTGGTGGTGTGACTAGGACATTCAAGAGTTGGGCATATTTTATCTAAAAAAAGTGAATATCTTTGAGTGCATTTAGTAATATAGTATGCATGTCTTTTGGTGATGTCAAAGTTCCTAAAATTTGCATAGGTGTATTGGTTATTAGAAAGGTAAGTATAGTTGGTCAACTCCATGTGTTACACGTAATTTTAAGTGTAACTGGTTCCACTTTGCTATCATCTATGTTAGAGCATTGTGTTTATGGTATACACAACAGTGTTGGCTTCTTAGCCCTAGGAAAAGTGTTAGAACATAGATTAGCTTATGATGTATAGTGTTCTCATTATCAAGTCATATCATTCCAAACAGATATAATGAAGAGATGGTATTTTTAAGTTATAACAAGTCAATTGCAAGTCTAGATTCAAATTTGATGAATCCATCTTAGTGTGCAGTAGATGTGCTTCAAATGTCTCTAGCAAGTGTGAAGTTCAAGTGTTATTTTGATTTGATGAAATTACATGGTGCTTAGGTCTTGGGGATTTAGGAGCTCAAAGTGGCGGACTCAGAGAGAAAAGTAATTGCTAGGTTATCAATTAAATATTAAGTTGATGAAGAGAATTATTAAATTTTGACTCAACATAATTTTATGTTTGATAAAATATTTGTCGAACAAGAATTGAAGCATTACCAGGGATCCAGTATAACTAAAGAATATTTTCCTAGTTTTGTGAAAAGAAAGAATCTGGTTTAGGTGGCATTAAGGAGCCCTTGAATTGTGTTTACGTCATTTTTGTGAGAAAAACAAACCCAACTAAATTTTTGCGAAGCTCAAGTCAAGGAAAAACTAAGGATCCTTGATTTTTATGCAATTCTTGAGATTAGTGTGGCTTCCTTGATTGTTGGCTCATAACATAGGATTTGTTGACATAAACATCATCGTTGATTATCATGCAAACTTCTTATAAATCTCTCTTAATTTTGAGAGGATATTATACTACCATACCAGGTGTGATCTCTCTCACTCATGAATACATAAAAGAAGATTATCTTAAGATGATGGTTTGTGGCTAGGTATACCTGCAAAAATGCATCTTTATTTTCTACATATGGTCAGTTTGAAATATTTATACACAAGAATCCCCTTTTACAGTAAGGTGAATAATATCATGAAAATTGTAGAAAAGTGCAAATCCATTTTAGGAAAGAATTTGTTGAGAAATTAGGGCGAAAAAAAATAAGAATCGATACAAATCTAGAAGAACACACAGAGATTTATGAGATTCAACAAATATGCCTACGTCTTTGGGAGCAGAGCGGCGACTTCCTTTTCAATATTCAGAAAAGAGTACAAAATACAATATTCAAAATTTCGGGGTCTCAAAGACTTCTCTAAGGTTACAAACAGGACATATATATAATCCTATAATACAATATGTAATTACTTAAATCACCCATGTACCAAACCGCCGAGTCTTGTCCCGCACCCCCAACCCACATAATGAAAGTCTCCTGATTGGACAGATCATCCCGCTCCACTCCGCTTGTGGGCTCCGCTCCGCTCCAGCATCTGTCCCATTTATGATATATGAGTCATACCTAACAAATCTCCACCTTGGTGAATATCCAACCTCTTAGGAGAAATACATATATCCAACAAATTTCCACCTCATGTGTCTAACAAATCTCTAACTTGGTGAATATTCAGCCCCTTACGAGAAATACATATGTCTAACAAATTTCCACCTTGGCGAATATCTAGCCCCTTAGGAGAAAATACATTATGGAGTTTCTTATGCATCAATGTGAGTTGGGCCACAAATCCTTTTAAATAATCCCTTAATTAAGATTCCCTTAATTAAGTTTTTCAGAAAAAAAAACTCTCTTAATTAAATTAAATTCTTTTCCTTAAACTTCTAAGAAAAGCTTCGCCTCCATTTTATAGAAAAGCTCATTTTTACTTCTAGAAAAACTCTACTTTTCTTCAACAAAACTCTGTCACCGCTTTCCTTACAGAAAGAAATCTTTCTTTTCCCGAGTGCAGCAGCAGATTCGCTTTCCTTGCCTTTCCCGAGTCCTGGAAAATCTCTGGAATATCTCCGCGTTAAATTTATTTTTCCGCGTACTTTACTTTTCCGCGTTCGCCCTTCCAATTCTGCTTCGCGCTGCCCGAATGCCTCCCGCGCCGCCGAACAGAGCCCTTCGTCGCGAATCCTTCTCACCTAGTAGAGAACTGCCTTTGTAATAGTCTTGCAGCCCTCGTTCATTTTGTTCTGCCCGAACCGCACACGAACTAGCCTCGATTCCGAACCTTCGCGAACGACTTCGTCTGGACCGTAGAACCCTGTCGAACCTTCTGTCACCTTCGCAGAACCGATTGCTTGGTCTTCTGCTTCGCAAAACTGCTCCCCGTCCCGCGATCGCGTGACGCCGGATTTCTGATCGCTAATCCGCCGAACTGTCGAAGCTTGCTTCGTCTTGGAAATTTCTCTGCGTCGAGATCCGAACTGCTGGTAAGCTTGCATAAATCTTTCTCTAGTCGCCAATCTACTATGCCAAAATCTTCTTTATTCTTG